GAACGACGACCGCGGTTTTTCTCTGCGCACCTTCTCTCGTACGTATTGGGCGAACAAGCGTCCTGGTGTCTTCCTTCAAATCACGGGAAACTTTCGGAAAGTTCCCATCTTTTTTCTTTCCGTCACAGTAACGAATGAATCTCGAATATCATCGGCAATTATGATTATCATGAATGGACAGTAGCGGTACAAACGAAAGAGATCGCCGGAAGGTGATTCTAATGCAATTTCAGTTTCGCAAATAATGTTACAATTCAATTGCTGTCTTCTTGATGAAAATAGATTAATATAGAACGCAAGCAAGAGCATCGTTGGACTGTACAACTCAAGACTTTATTCACAAAAACCATCTCTGAAAGAAGAAAATATTTGACGACGCGGACGGCGAGACGCGTATATGTAACCCGCTACCCGCTATATATGTTCCGCGCTATCCCTCCCCGCGTCGCTCTTTGTGCGCGCGCGGACACATCCCGACACAATCGCGCATACACGAGCACGCACACAAACGGAGGTATAATCGGCGTAGGAAGGGTTTTGTGAATCAACGGTCTCAACGGCAACGCCGCATTGCAGATCCGCCGCGCCGGCCGCGCCGACACGCAACTGACCCCTCCCCCTCCCTCCCTCCCACCCCCTCTTCCTCCTCCTCCTCCGCCGCCGCCGCCGCAGTTTGTACCCTAAATTACACCCACAGGGAACGCGCACATATGCCTATACGAATGTATACCGCGACAGAGGCAAATGTGTATACCGATTTGCGAGACGCGCATCGTTAGTCGCAAGCCATATCTCGCAGTTTTCGAAGCCTCCCCTCGAGGACAGACAGAGACTGACAATACCACATCGATAGCTCGGGTGTTGGTGCATGCACGCGTTGCCGGAGGCTGAAAGAGATCCGCTTGCCTCGACGACACTGGTCGCGAGATACACACGCAACCGTTATTAAACTGACACATTATATATAATCTCCGAATCTCGACGCGTATGTTGAGGAGAATTATGAGATATGAGATACGAGGCTCGATATTCGAGGCGACACGCGAGAAGCGAATAGGAGAAGCTCGGACGGATCGACGGTATAAACGCTTTTAGCGCGATTTCTGCCTTTTCGCCGGGCCGCGTTTGCTCCACGGACGACGACGGATTCGGAAGCTGCGCTTGTCGCACGAGCGCGCGAGTGTTTCCAACACTCGTGGTAATCCCCCACCACCCCCGTTTGAGACGCAACAGAAAAATCGCATACGTACCTGCGATGAGTGGCCGGAGCGAGAACGGATGTCGCGCAGAAACGGAGTTGGAATATAGCTTAAGAATTTATGCCGGTCGCGACGCGTTACCAACGTCCCGTCCCGTCCGACTTCGCGTATCTTCTCATACATTGGCGGGTCCCGCGAGATGAGGAGCCAGACGCGCGCTAGTAAACTCGGTCGGTTGAATCAGTGCCAAGGCCCGAATTTTCAGGAACCCTCGAACGTGCACGAGCGGGGAATGGCGTATATATCTGCGTGGACTTTAAATAAAATTTACGTTCCGATATCTCCGTAGAGGATGACCAGCGCGACGAGAGCGATTTCTTTATTGAGTCGTCTCTCATCCCACGTTCGATTTTACGCTTCGACCAGCGCGCGGCGAATCGAAGCTCCGAAAGCGGATGTATCGCGAGGAAGAGAGCCGCCGCCGCCGCCGGGGCACGTAGGGTGACATATACGTGACATAAATCTCGCGTTTATTTATCCTCCGCGCTAATGTCTTCGTGAATGTCGGAGGGTGTCAGTTCCACGCTCGCCCATGTCCACAGAGTTTTAACTGAAATAGCGGGGTCGGGATTTATATGGGCGCCTAGGATATCTTTGTAAACTTTGTATAACCGCTTTAAAATTCTGAAAGTAAAGCCCATGCGAAATTGACCGAGTTCTGCATGTAAAAGTTTCGTCTCTCGCGGAACCGCAATTATATGCAAAGAAATGTATTTGTTTCTAGATTTGTCTCGGATCCCAGCAAACCAATTTGTCGCCGATGTACTTAATTTTTTAAAAGCAACGCTGGCATTGCCGCGATGTATTATCGGATCATGTTTTCGGATCGATTTTCCATGCAGACGTAAGAATATTGTAGCACATCTCGAAAACGCACGGGAAATAAAATCGTGTCATTTTAATCATTAAATGCAAATATATAATTCCGGAGAGATATAAATGTCAGCTTATAAGCGTGATCGATTTAAATATCGTCCGATTCCAGAGGTCAGTCGATCGAAATGTTTCACGTCACGGAGCGAACAATTATTTTAAAAAAATTACGCGTTTCTTTCGCGTTGCCGATTTTCGTGCGAAAATTCCAAGTGCTCTCTCGCAGCTTTTGATAGCCCGTTCATACCATAATATTCCCCTCAAGCACGCTTCGCCCCTTACTTACGTATATTCATAGAAACAAGATAGGAGCGTCGATTTATTGATTGTGTATTATTTTAATAACTTATTACAGTACTTTATTAAATGTTAAGTTACGGTTTTATCTAGACACATTTACAGTCACAGATTTTTGTGTGTCGCAATGGAAAAGGTGTATCGCAGAAAGGTATCGCGCGCGACGGCTTGCTACAACGGTTTCGATTTCGTGTATATGTGTGTGTGTGTGTGTGTGTGTGTGCGTGTTTTTGCGTATATGTGCGTATGAGTCTGTGTGTTTCTCTGTGTCTGCATCTGTGCGTTTCGCTATACATCAGTTACGTTTTCGCAGCGTAAAAAGGCGCATGATCCGAAATGGGAGGATCTCCGTTGTTCTTCGTCGGGTGTAATATCACCACCGACAGTTCCTAGATACGGAGATACGAGAGAACTAAAAATGTGTAGAAGTAGATTTTTTTTTTTTCACCGAGCGACTCTGTGCAGCGCTATATTTTGTATTAACAGCAAATGAATCCGGATATATATGAAGAGTTCGCCGCGCACACCGTCGGAGCGCGGATGCGACGCTCCGCGACGCGACGCTTCGCGCCGCATTCGCGATCGACGGCTGAATCGAATGAACGTAATTCACACGCGTAAAAACACATTCTCGCGATCACACACCGATGCCGAGATGTCTGCGATAATGCTAAAATGGGAACCGGCAGTCTTTCTCGCGCATTCATTATACAATTAGACACAGTCGCAGAGCACTCCCCCCTCCTTACCGATCTCAATCGGCTCTCGCTGCGGTTGCCGAATTATTTAGAGCCCATTGACTTTTGCACGCGTCTACATACCTACATACCTGGGCGAACTTCCGATCGTATGTGTGTGTGTGTGTATGTGTGGCATGAGATCCATGGCTCGTTACTGTGGCTAATCGTAAGTTGTTGATCCTTCGGCGCACGCAATATCGCCGTAAGCACAGTGATCGTACTTTAAGAGAGAAAATAAGCGAGGAAAGGGAAAGAAAGAGAAATGAAAGAGACTTGGTAATAAAAATTAAGAAAAGATGAGAGAGAAAGAATAAGGGAGGGCGCGCGCGCCTATCTGTGTAAAACGTATATGTTGAATGGAGCGAAAAGATGTCAACTATAATATTCGAAGATGAATTTTCAGTACGAGCTTTTTTTTAGTACTGTGATAGGTGAAGAGAAGAGAGAGCAAAGATAGATAGATAAAGAGAGAGAGAAAGAAAAAGAGAGAGAGGGAGAGACTTTTTAGTAAGTAAATACAAAATGCATTACATGTCATGGTTCTAATGTGGCGATAACATTGTTGATATTAAAACTGTACACACGGTGAGCTGTCCCGTGTAGCTGGAAATAAACACCCCTCGCTCAAGCTCGGGTCTCTCGGTAAGTCCGTGGGAGAGGGGGAGGGGGGGAAAGAACGTTTCCGGCGCGGATTGCGAGCGAGGCCGCGCCCGTACGTCATTACGGGCGGGTCATCGTCCGGGTCTCCTCGATCATTTCACCGTCCTTTGGCAGGTGGGGAGATTTACCATGAAGAATACGTTGAGCTCGATCAGCGACGCCAGTATGAGGAACACGGCGTACATGCAGAGGCAGGCGCGGCCCACTTTTGTGTCGAGCTGAAACTTGTTGGAGGCGAACGCGATGTACAGCAGCATGAGGGTCGACAGCAACGATATCGCGCTGTACTCAAGCCCGCCGGAGTTGATACTTATGTAATGCTTGCCGGGCTGCGTTGGTGAGAAGGACGACTTGATCAGCCAGGGTAGTCCGAGACACAACAGTATATCGAACGTATTCGATCCTATCGAATTGCTGATGCCCATCGAGCCGTGTCCTGAACAGCGTAACGAAATGGTAGAAAGTATACGGATGAGAAAAAATTATGAGGGAAGAGCATGGCGAAATGTCTCTCCCCCGGGCATTCTGCGCGCTCCGTTCTTTCGCCATTGTGTCCGTCTTTCTCAAATCCTCAACCCCACGTTACTCGCGCCGGGTGTAAAATACATGTATACCCCTCGACACGGCATGCACCTACTGGGCGCCATTCGCAGCCTCTTATAGCTCGACCTAATTGAATCCCTCTCAACGTGCCTAACGACCCTTCCACCCATTCTATCGCGCTGATTTCTCTGAATTTTGCACTAGTTTCCCAATGTACCTCTCGTTTCTGCTATTTTCTTACCGTCTTACGAGCCGTGCTGAGATCCGAATATGAGAAAAATGCACATCTCAGTTGTTCTATTTAACGTAATAAGTATTCACTTCCGTCACGAGATTAATTTCCAATATACGTAGGTATATTTGTTAATAACTGTATACCTTGTTTCGCAACAATCACGCTCGACACGGCTTCGGGTACGCTGGTTCCCGCCGCGAGGAAAGTGATGCCCATTACGGAATCTGGTATCTTCAGCGTGTCTCCTGAAATAAAAACCAAATGCGTTTGTATCAAAACTTTAAGCCATACACACACACACAAAGATTCTACGTGATAAAATAAAGATTCTCTCGTTACAGTCTTGTTTCTTATCGTTCTTTAATTTTTAATAAGAGGACTAGATATACTAGAGCTAGACCGTAACATACGTTTCAATTGGAAAAAGACTTCGATGTGGAATCGATATTCACGTAAAATTTGATCAAATATCGTCTTTTGCGTTTTGATGTTCGACGATGCGCTTGTTCGTAGATAAAGGTCAAAGTAAAATTATCATCACTCACCTAATGTAATTTAAGTCACACATACACAAAGATTCTACATAATAAAATAAAGATTCTCGCGTTACAGTCTTCTCTTTTGACGTTCTTTAATTTTAAACGAGAGAACGATATGCTAGATTTAGACCACATATAAGTTTTAATTAGAAAAAGACTTCTCTCTTTTGACATGTAATCGATATTCATGTAAAATTTTATCAAATGTCATCTTTTGCGTCATCTTTTTCGTCTTTGTAACGTTTTGATGTTCGACGGTACACTTGTTATTAAATTAAAACTATCACTCACCGATTATAGTGATCATCCACGCTACTACGTAGCTGAGTGATCCAATCCATATAATGCACATCAGAAATGTGATAGGGAACCAATTCTTGAATCGTGGTTTCTCGCAATCGGGAATTGTGCACATGAATACCAGATGAATGGGCCACGTTGTGATCCAAGCGGTCTTCCTTAACCATCCAGCATGCGCTGGCCACACCAGGAGCTTGTACTCGTAATCTATTATACAATATATTAACGATAATTTCAAATTCGAAGATATATTATCTATTGTTTATGTTTTCTATAAGGATTCCAAGTGACGAAATTGTAATATTATGCAAAATTTATGTAAAACGTATCGATAGCAGCCGGATTTGTCAAATTTGAATATTCAATCTCTGATCTTGATGGCTGTTAATTCCCTGGAAATTCCCATTCACAAGTGCTTAATTACACTTGACCAATCAAGTGGCGCTCTCTCTGTCGCGAAATATATTACGCATTGCTTTACCATTGTTTGCGAACACTGTCGTCACGCTCGCGGACACGCCGATACAATTGAAATCGTGGAAATCGATTTGATTAGATTAGACTAGGAGAGTAAATATTTATTTATCGCGAGACTAGTAGCAAATTCTGCGCGACAAATTATATTTCACGTAACAAGTAGCTCGTAGACGCTATGTTACAAATATTGTGTTCAAAAATTTATAAGGGGATACAGACAAACTTACTAGGATCTGGATTCTCTTCCTGCGTTTTTGTCCCGCCATTTTGCAGCGGTACGTCGATAGTAGCTATCTGCTCCACACGATCACCGGGCGATTGCAATTTGTCCGGTCTTGGTAAGTGAATGTCACTAGAATCTGTGAAAAACATTATTCATGCATTTTATATTTTATGTAAAAATCCCAAAACATTAAAATTCAACTCTTATTCTTCTAAATTATATTACTATTAATATGATTTAAAAAATTTAAATCTTTTAACTTAAGTTCTTGAAACTTAATCATCAGAAACGTGATCGAAAGGATTACTGAAGATTTTATTAAAAAAAGAAAAAATG